TCATCACAAGCTTGAGTATAGGTCCAAGCAATGTGTTTTCTTGGTTATAGTCCATCCCACAAAGGATATAGGTGTCTTGATGATGATGGGCAGATGTTTGTTTCGAGGCATGTTATTTTTGATGAAAAAAAATTTCCCTATGATGCATGTAAGATGACAGATCAGGAACATGTAAATTCTTATGTTTCAACTTGGGAATTGCCGATTGTGTTTGCTCCACAGTTCAAACTCAGCAAGGAATTGTTGATGCTATTTCACCTATGGTTGGTGTGCAAAATGAAGAAGCTTATGATAGTCAAAATAATTATGAAACAAACAGTGCAGGAGAAATTCCAGTAGGGTCCAGTTCTGATCATGAAACGAATAGTGTAAGAGCTAGACAAGTAGGGTCAAGTTCTATCACTGCTTCAATTGGCGTAACATTACCACAAACAGATATGACAGCTGGTTGTAGCTCTACCTTAAATACTCATCCCATGCAAACAAGGAGTAAGAGTGGTATCTCGAAAGCAAAGATATATCAAGCCACTACATGTATTGATGAAGAACCACATAGCATTAAACATGCTTTGGCCATTCCATATTGGAAGGATATTGTTCAAGAGGAGTATGAGGCTTTGCTGAAAAATAAAACGTGGTCTCTCGTGTCATTGCCAAGTGACAGAATGGCAGTTTACTGCAAATGGTTGTTCAGAATCAAGAGGAATGCAGATGGCTCAGTTGCTCGATATAAAGCAAGGTTGGTAGCCAAGGGGTTTCTTCAACAACCAGGTATTGACTTTCATGAAGTATTTAGTCTTGTTGTTAAACCAGTCACTGTTCGTGTCATCTTAACATTAGCCATGTCAAAAGGATGGCAACTCCGGCATGTTGATATAAATAATGATTTTCTCAATAGAGTGCTAGCAGAAGAAGTCTACATGACTCAGCCTCCTGGTTTTGAGTTTGGTGATGCTAAGCTGGTTTGCAAATTGCATAAAGCCATATATGGCTTAAAACAGGCACCACGAGCCTGGTTTGACAGTTTAAGAAGCTACCTGGAATCTGAAGGCTTTGTGGTAGCCAAGTCAGACTCTTCTCTTTTTGTTCGAAGAAGTGAGAAGTGTTTACTATATGTACTTGTATATGTTGATGATATAATTCTCACTGGCAGTAATCCAAGTGAGGTGCAGGTTGTTATTGACAAATTGCATGCAAAGTTTGCTCTAAAGGATCTGGGAACTCGAAATTTCTTCTTAGGAATTGAAGTAAAGTATGAGTCAGGAGGTGTTGTCTTGTGTCAGCAAAAGTACATTAATGAACTATTACATCGAAATGGATTTGAAAGTGCAAATGGTCTTCCTACTCCTATGGTTACAAACTGCAAACTTTCAACTAAGGAAGGAAATCCAGTTGAGAAAGTCACTCAATTTCGCAGCATTGTTGGAGCTCTGCAATATGTTGTGATTACTCGTCCATATATAACATTTGTTGTAAATCATGTGTGTCAATTTATGTAAGCTCCTCTTGACACTCATTTTCAGGCTGTGAAACGTATCTTGCGATACTTACAAGGGACAATTGACTTTGGTCTGAGTTTCTTCAGGTCGTCCAGACTTTCCTTGACAGGTTTTGCTGATGCAAGTTGGGGAGCATATGTGGATGATAGACGCTCCACTTCTGGTTTTTGCATTTATTTTGGAGGCAATTTAGTTTCGTGGAGCTCTCGAAAGCAACAGGTTGTGGCTCGATCAACAGCTGAAGCAGAATATCGAAGCGTTGCATGTACGGCTGCAGAAATGGTATGGATTGAATCTTTATTGAGTGAACTGAAAATTGTTTCTCATGGCAAACCTACTCTATGGTGTGACAATTCAAGTGTCGTGGCAGTATGTGCTAATCCTGTTCTGCACTCAAAATTTAAGCATGTGGCACTTGATCTCTTTTTTGTTCGAGAGATGATTGCAGCATGAAAGTTACAAGTTCATGAAGTTCCTGCATATGAACAAGTTGCAGACATTTTAACAAAACCACTATCTACACCCTTGTTTGTCAAACACATACAAAAGTTATTGATTGTGCAAGTCAAATGAGGAAGTTGAGAAGTTTACAGATTTGAAGCTGCAGGGAGAATGTTGGTGTTTATGGTGAATTAGGAAGGTACAGAGTAAAGTAGTAAGGGTAATGTTAGTGTATGATGTTAGTATGTGTGATGTATGCATGAATTAGTTATGATCATGCATGTGCAATGTACGTGAGGTGGTTAGAGTTGTCTTAACAAACTCTCTCTCTCCTCTAACGTCCTAACGTTCTTTCCCTCTCATTTTACATTTCTTAATATGCTGTATAAATAGCCTGATGCTTCTACTGTAGAATTTATGGTTTTACAAATGAATGAAAGCAATGATTCATCGCTTATATGTGTGTTGATTCCTGAGCTATGTTGATACTTTAACAACCACTCTACCTCTCCCTTACCCCATTGCATATGAGAATAGAGTTTTGTTGTTGTTGTTGTATTTCTTTATTAGTCTGAACTGATTAAAAGTTAACATATATTTTGAATTCTTTTAGTTCATTAATAATGAATACGTACACATCCTACAAACACAACTACTTCAATTTAAAATTTAAAAAATATAATATTTTTTAATTATTGAGGTCATTTGATAAATTCACGTGAAATATTTAAATATAATCAAAAAATAAAATAAATTTATTTATGTATAATTTAATTACAAACTAACTTTCAACAGCGAAAATAATCCAATTGGTGAATGTTAACAACTATTTGTTCGTTTATACTCGAATATAAAAGCCATGGACTAATTCTTTAAATTACATTTACCAATTGCCGATTACATTCAATTTAGCTTGTCCTCATCAAATTCAGACATAATCATTACTATAATCAACTAAACTAATACAGGGACAAAATCATTTAGTGAAAGTTATTTATTAAGCGGTAAGATTTGCTAAATAATATTCTTTAAATAAATAGTTAGTAAAATTACATTAAAATTAAATTATTTAAAAATAACGTCTATTTAATCACATACTATAAAAAATATTTTATCAACCACGTTTTATAAAAAAATATACTTTGTCGATACTGTTTTTTCTAAGGAAAACTACTTTAGGTATCATTGAATTTTGCTCGTTGAGTCATTTATACTATTAAATTTTTATTTTTATCACCGATAACACTAAAAATTTAACTTTACATTTAATTATGTCATTTTACCGTTAAATCACTAATAGAATGATGACATGGCTAACGTTCACTAACGTGGCATATAATACCAAAACAACATCATTTTGGTACAGCTGTTTTGATGCCTAAAACGATGTCGTTTTAGACATTAAACTTTTGGGGTGTATCGATTTTGTCATTGTACTTTCAAATGTTTTTCTTTCTTACCGCTTCACTTTTTGGTTGTTGTCGCCTGCTAAGTACTGTCATTCATCGTACATATGTTACAGTAAGATTGATACCAAAACATTCATATTTCACTTCTTTGTCTTCTGTTGCGAAAGATGATCAGTGACAAGCGGTGATTGACTACCGGTAGTGGTAAAAAAATACAGTGGTAAAAAACACAACTGTTTAAAAGTTTAGTGGCAAAATCAATACACCCCTAAAGTTTAGTGTCTAAAATGATATTTTAAGCATTAGATCAACCATATCATAATGAAGTCATTTTGGTGTGGCATGTCACTCATCAACTGTTATCCATCTTATTGTCATATATGTAACTTAACCTATATGTAACTTAACGGAAAGTGACATAATTAAAATATAAAATTAAAATTAATACTATAATTAACAAAAACAAAAATTAAATAATATAAACAGATGAACAAATAAAATTAAATGCTATCTAAATAATTTTCTCGTTCCTTCTATATACAACAATCAAAACAAGAAGAAATTGGTGGTCAAACACGTCTCTTAATGATTTTATTACCTATATCGAATTTTAATTGTTTAGCGATTTGAACATTTTAAAAGTGATTTTAAGACTTTTTTAAATTAAAATTTAAGTTTTCAGAACTTAATAAATATTATCAAATTATATTAGGAGAGAATACTTTTAATAAAATCATATTTATTTAAAGATAATTTTATCTACTACACATTTTTATCTATCTTCTTAAATAATTTCAATATATTGCAAAATGCTAAACAAATAATAATTACAGTAATAAATACTCATGATATTTTCCAAAAAAAAAATTACCTGTGCAAGCTTTATAAATTTAGGGTAAAATACATCATTTCTCATTGAACTATACTCTCTCTCTTATTTTATACACTGTACTTTTAATTTTTCTAATTTACTAACCGTACTTTCAAATTGTTCATGTATTGATCACTTTGAATTTTTTTTGTATTACATGATTTTTTTATTTAATTTAAAATAATTGAATATATAAAATAAAAATAGGTGGTGGTCGGATGCCACTGTAAGCCACCATCGATCGTTGTAAATGGTGATCGTTCGATCCTAAATTTCATGGGTCTTGTTCGTCTCGACCCTTAGTCCGGATCTAGTGTTTTCACCAAAAATGTCCCAAAACCATAAATCTTGGCTGAAACAATTTGTCTTCCTCACTTTCGATCTCCAATTCATGGACTTCATAGCAAGTTTCAACAAAATGGAGGGAAGATTCAAAATCAGGGTGTCGAGAAGAACAAGACCCATGAAATTTGGGATTAAACGACCACCATCTATGATGATCGACGGTGGCGGCCGACCACATTCTGTTTTTATTTTATATTAAATAATAATAATAAATGCCACATCATACCAAAAAAATAATAAAATAATTCAGAGGGATCAAAACAGAAATAATTCGAAAGTTTAGTAATTAAATTAGAAAAACTGAAAATATAGTGAATAAAATAGGAGAGATATTATAGTTTAGTGAGAAAGGTTGTATTTTACTCTAAATTTAGTCGTCCGCTTCAATTTTTGTCCCATCGGTATATCTCAAATCTGATACTCTGTTCTCCGAAAGATACAAAGCCAACAAGTGAATGCATGTTCTAAGGTGGAACCTTTTTAGTTATTTTTTTCTTCCTTTTTATAGTTCTTGATTGCTTGCTTCTATGGAAGATCGTGGCTATTTTTCTTTTCAAGTTTTGATTTTGAAAACTGCATATTTTTTTTTCTTCTTGCAAATTCAGTTTGCAGTATACCCTTTTTCTTTTTGGCCCATGATTCAGAAATTCATTGAAATGGAGCAGTTATTTCCGGTTTTCATTCTGGGCTTTTGCTATCGGCCATGGCATGGACAGTATCTGGCTTTCAATTTCCTTTTCTTTGGTTTTTATGCGACTCTCTCTCTCTCTCTCTCTCTCTCTCTCTCACAAGCTGATTTGGTGAAGGCTCTTAATGGAAACCGGTTTATTAAAACTTCGATGACCAATCGTAGCTATGAGATCTGAGGGCATTTTGCATGGTTTCTCGGCATGTCTTGCGCTTAGCAGCTTCATCTCCTTCAATGACTGCTTTCTGCAAGCTAGGCTCGACAATTTTCCCTTTCTTATAATTTCAGGTTGCTCTTGAGTGTAGCAAGTCATTAAGCTTAATGATTTGACCTGCTTTCATACGTGGTCCATGATAAGAGCAATTGATTTGGGTAGTTTCCTTGATTTCACTATGAACCTCCCATCATTGTTGCTTTTATTACCCTGAAGGTGTGGTATTCTGCATTGGCTTTTATGAAAATCCTGAGTTTCACTATCATTTGATTATGACACTGATGATATCCGATGCTATTACTTTTTCCATAAGCAACACCTGGATAAAACTTTTCAACGCGAAAAATGTTTTTCCTTCAAATATGTTTTACATGCAGTGTGAATCAGAGATTAGTTGCATGGTATGAATGGTTTTGAAGTGAATATAAACCGATTGATTACAGTGCAGAAACAAAATTCCTTTCCTTCCCCTTACTAATTTTAACTATCTAAACAAAAAAATATGTATATCATTTCCTTTCCTTTCTAATTATGTATCCAAAGGTAGTGTCAGAGTTTTTATCTTCCATTAAACGCTTATTAAGTTGCTTAGAACAAATTCCTTTTCAGTTAGTAGATCATTGTTTTTCTTTCTTTCTTTATATCTGTGTGTATGAGAAAAAAACTTTAATGTCGATGCACATGCAGCCTAGGAAGCTTTTGACTCACCCAAGCTTTCAATCTTTTGGAGATCACATTGTAAAACTATTCTTTTCTTTAATTTTTGGTTTAAAGGATGTTGTTAAACAAGTTGTAGTAACAAAATTTCAATTTTATTCATGGGAGAACGTTTGGTTAGCGATGAAAATTATTTTTTGTTTGATTTAGTCTTTCATGTGCTAACACTGGTTTCTTATTACTGAAATCGCTTCTGTTTTGTACTGATGGGGAAAGAACCTTTTTGTACGATTTTAGTTATTGTATCATGCTTTTTTCTTTTCTTTTCCTTTTCTTTTTTTGGCTTTGTTTATGATTTTTGCACAATGATGGAAAACTCATTGAACATGAGTTCTATTTCTGGTTTCATTTAGGTGTTTACTATCATCTGTCACCATGATCATCATCATCAGACTACCATTTATTATTTCCTCTTTATATCTATCTGTCTGTCTATCTTCCGATTCATCCATCTAGCTATTTATTCATCTATCCATCCATCTATCTTTTGATTCATCCATCTATTGGTTCATCCATCTATTTAGCCATCCATGGATCAATCTGTCAATGCGTCCATCTACTTATCCATTCATCCATATCTAACTATCCATTCATCTATATATCCACCCATTTAACTATTCATCCATTCATCCATCTTCTATTTGATGGCTGATGATTTGTAAATTTCTTTATGAGAATCAATCATATTGTTAATACTGTGAATGACCAAGCATACATATAAGATCTGAGGGCTTTGTTAATCATATTGAATCTTAGACTTCATCATGCCATTTTTTTTCCTTTAGACGTGATTTGCATCTTGATCATATTTGTTCTACCTGTCACTTAATGCATAATTAAGTAATTAACATTTTTCTTCCATGGGAATTATTTTCTGTTTGTGTTATTTTAATCATTGAAGCCTATTTTATATTTGTGTTGAACTTCGATCATGCTCTTTTTGTTTCCTTCATATGTTTGTTTCATCAATTATATAATTTGTCTTCTTGAATTGTTGCTTTGAAAGGGTTAAGCATTCCTTTGTGGTTCTTGTAAACCTTTCTGTGTTTATTATCTGCTAGTACTTAAGTATGCTAATGCTAGTTCTTAGTGATTCATTTTGGTTCTATTCAACCTAACTAATCAATCTCTCATTGCTTCCGAAACATAATATCAAGTATCCAATGATGAGAAGTTGTTGCAAAGGGTATTTCTTTTGTTCTCTTTATCTCTATATAAATGAACTAATGAGCCTAGCTATTGTTGAAATGTGATACTGGGTATTATGTTCTTTTTTAATTTTATCTTCCTTTCAAGTTGTTTAGCTTTTTCAAGTACTCTTTGTGATATCTTTTCTTGTTTAAGTTTGGTCTTGCTTGCCCCTAGCATTATTCTGTATTTTTGCTCATTTCCCCCACTCTGCCAAGTGATGGATACTTTTTAGGTGCATAGAGTTTGCTATGGTATTGTTGTTGAGCTGCATCTTTTCTGCTAGCCATCGTTGGTTTTGGCACTCCTCCTTGTAGTTGTTGTTGTTGCTGCTGATGTTGCCGTTTCCATTGCCATTTCCATTGCCATTGCTAATTATCGTATTTCTTAGCCTTGTGACTATTGATGGCACTAGTAGTAATGGATGTTGAAAGCTCTTCATTAAAACTACATAGCATCACTGTTTATGAATTGGTGATATTATCGAGTTTTGATTCTGAGGGCGTTGCTATTTCTTTTACCTTATTTAGTGTTTAGTTTTTGAAGGTCTAGTGTTTTGCTGAGTTGATGGCATTGCCTGTTGCTGCAAGAGTGTAGATATACTCCTTTATTTTACCTAAAGAGTTAGATATTTACCAATTTACCATTACTAAATGAAAATATGGTTTCAATGGGATTATCGGAATTGGTGGAGTGTGACTGTTAGCAGAGATCCCTGAAGAAGGTTGAAGCCGATGCTGTGCCCACTGGTGTTTTGGCTAAGGGAAATGAGAAGTCCTACGAAACATATTTAGTATAACCCGTAAAGTTTGGAATGTAAATAGTAAATTCTGGGCTAAGCAAAAATCAAAAGAATCATACCTATTGGGAGTCATTAGCAGCAGGAGGCTGTGTTTGTCATGGATGGATGATTGCTTCTTGTATCCCATCTCCCAACTTCCCTTTGCATCTTACCCAAATCCATTTCTGTAAAACAAAGAACCAATGGTATTTAATGAGTTGCTCAACAATATCCTTAAGAAAAGGCCTGGAAAAGGATAAACAATCAATTAATTCAAATACAATTACTCACGGGAGATGTCAAAAGTTATTTGTCTAAGTACACAAGTGCAATGCAGGTCTTAGCCTGTTAAAGAAGCTAAAGATAGGGATTCTCATGGAAAAGGTTACTAGCTTTTGATTCACTGGTCATTGCTCTCATGAAATAGCATTTTGTCTTCGTGTTTTACATCTCTCTCCATTGGCAGTGGAATGATCATCCTGCAGTCATGTTTGTGGGTGTCATGGATGGAACTTCAGAAACCATTTTCCAGATGCTTGTCTCTTGGACCCTCAAGATCAGAGCAAGTTGCCAAGTACTTTGTATTTTTTGTCAGCTCTTATACCCTTTTTCAAGAGCCATTGTTTGATTTCAATAGCAAGTGGTACGTCAATTCTATGCATACTTGTAATGGTAGTAAATTTAGCATTGTGATTCGTTGGATTAGATGGCATTGTGATTGTTATTTTCTCATTGGATAACATTTTATGTGCCGTTGGAGCTTATGTCTCACTGAAGTTGTAATGGAGTGAAAATGTGAACTTAAGTTTGATGCATGATAGAAGCTGAAACCATGTAAATATTTGCCTTCTTAATGTCAACTTCCAGTCGATCTAGAAACACTTAATTCACCAAGTTTAATAGCAACACAAAAACCATAAGAAGAAATCTGCACTCTGATGATTACTGCTTTGATGCTCTCTTGTTCCGTCCCAAAGTTGTGCAAACTTACATATCTATTCATCCACTTTTGCTATTTCATTTCTAGTGGCTGCATTACTGCCACTCTTGCATTCAATGAGGCTATTACATGTTTTTTGTAGTGTATAGCTCTGATTTCCTTACTTCTATGCGGCTGAAAAACTTTCATTAAACACACCGACCAGAGATATCAACGGCTGCTGTTTTAGTAAGAAAGATGCATAATCTTGCAGCTGGACAGCGCCAGAATGCTCGACATTTCTAATTCGTGCAATGAATTACCTGGAAGATCGAAAGAAGGTACGAAGAATGAGGTTTCAGTGAGGTTTGTGGTCAAAGTTGAGGTGTATATCAAAAGTCCAGCTGGTGTGTCACACTGAATGTCTTACATCAGTATATCCCAATGAATTGGCGTTTTGTTATAGAAAGCCATTTTCAGACACTCATGTCTGTTCTGTTGGACCTAGAGATCGCAAACGGGCGGGTCAGGTACCCCTCTCCTATCTCTATATCCATCTAATATTTTTAAATCCACCACCCATGATGAGTAAAATTTTTCAAATTCACACCCGCCCACGCGGGTACATTCTCAAATCCATTTCCACACTCACTATCCAACTAGAGATGTACCCGGTTAGACCCGTCTGACAGCAACCTTAAGTTATGCATAAGAAACAAACATAAAACAAACACGTCCAGTAAGAAACATAATAAAATAAATCAAGGATTATAAGTTATATCTTATATAATATTAAGATTTATAAATTAGTCTCTAAAATTATACCTAAATTCATAATGGTCCAAAATTTAATAGGTATTTATTGGGCGGGTAGATGCGGGGCGGGCAGATGCGGGGCGGGCTGATGCAAGGCGAATAAGGTCTTAAACCAATCACCCACCCACTACCCGCGATGGGTATCACTTTCTAAATCCACACCCGTCCACTACCCACTAAAGATATACCCATCCCCGTCGCAATTGGAGCGGATACGATGCGAAATCCACGATATTGTACCCGTTTGTCATCCCTAGTTGAACTTGGACCCTCGAAATCGGAGTAAGCTGCCAAGGACTTACTATTGTTGTTAGCTCTCAGTATACCTAAGAGCCATGGTTTGATTTCAATTAATTGCTGCAAGTGGTATGCACATTTGTAAGCATAGTAAACTTAGCACTGTGATTAGTTGGAACAGACTGCATTGTGGCTGAGGCTATTGCAGTTGTCCAGTATTTGCAAGGCTTTATTTTGTTTTTTCCTGGAATATACTTTGTAGAAACTAATGATTTGTATCTTTTACTTGATAAAGCTATCCGATTTATTTAAAAAATAGAAAGAAGATTTTATTTTAAGTCATAATTCTCTACTATCAACAAAATAGATCATTTGTTTAAATTTAGTAAAGGATCACTTAATATGATTAAGAATTAATTCCATCATATGTCCCCAAACTATGACCCTCATTTTAAATTAATCCTTAAACTTTTAAATATTTTAATTTCATCCCCAAACTATGATACTCAATTTAAATTAATCCTTAAACATTTGAACATTCCAATTTCATCGTCAAACTATGACTCTCATTCTAAATTGATCCCTAAACTTCTAAATCTTTCAATTTCATCCATACATTCATATAAATATGTAATTAATTCTAACCATAGTTTAACCTAAAATTTATTTTTTTAAATAGCTTGACTTAACGATTTTATTAATAGGGAATGTGATTAGTATATACATATAGTTTGGGATGAAATTGAAATGTTGAACAAGTTAGGGGACTAATTTAGAATTAAGGATATAATTTGGGTATGAAAATAAAATGTTCAAAATTTTGATAGAATGATAATCATAGTTTAGGGATGAAATTGGAATATTTAAAAGTTTAGGGACCAATTTAAAATGGAGATCATAGTTTGAGGACATATGATACAATTAACTCTATGATCACATAAATAAGTTAATTTTTTTGAGCAAAGTACACAATGGTCCCCCGACTATTGGGGTGATGCTTGTTGAGTCATTTGACCTTACAAAATGGTCTCTCAAATGTTACTTTGTTTAGTCACTCGACTATTAAAAGTTATAAAATGGTCACCTGACTATTCATATGTTTCAAACTCATCATTTTTCTGTTAAAAAATTAACAACGGTCTAAGTTGGACATAAACATATTCATTAAGATATGGTAAAATCATTATTTAATAATGACTATTGACACTGTTGTTGGTTTCAAGCATTGACTCGACAATATAATCTTTCAAGTATTGGCTCGACAATATAATGTAAATGAAGAATCGATTCATAAAATACATCTCAAATGGTTATGGGATCAAATTTTATAATATCCTAGTTAATGAGTTTAGAACATATGAATAGTCATATATCATCATTTTGTAACTTTTAATAGTCGAAAAATTCAACAAAATAACATTTTTTTAATCGAAGGGTTATTTTATAATATTTAATAATTTAAAACTCAATAAAACTCATCTACACTTTCTAAAGAATAGTACTCTTTTATCAATGGGCTGCTCTACGAATTCAAGATAAGTGGATTGATTTATTAGAAATAGAGGTTTAAAAATGATTAATTTAAAGGGTTCTTGATAAACGTGAAAATTGATGCGAAAATATAAATGAAACTAAAAAATATTTGTTGCCAGCTCTGCAGCGGAGCCAACCAACAGTAACACGACTGGACCGGTAGACGAAAGTAGTAGTCTTATTGTTATCGTCAATGAAAGACTCCTCTTCTCAAATTCTTTTTCCCCTATTCTGAATCCTGGATTTGATTTCTCCAGAGGGGAAAACTAAATGTCGTTGGATTCTATCTCATCTTCGTCTTCTCTTGATGACTCCACCGCCATAAACCAAAATTCTGATCTCACACCGGTTGGCGAACGGTTTGGTTTGTTGACACTGACTGAACCTAGTCGTGGAATGCCGATGAAATTTCAAATGCATCGTTGAATCTGGAGAGAAAAAACGGTGATGAAGAAGAAGACGACCGATAAATTGGAGAGAACCGGGAATTATATGGCGACGAAAGTCCCTCTAGTCCTAGCAGTAGTGAGTATGCCGGTGAGAGAGGGAGTAGTAGTTCCACGAGCGAGTCTAGGATCGATGAAGCGAGTGAAATTGACGGTAATGAGATTCAGGAAGTAAGGAAAGATGGTTTCCTCGAAGGATTATCCGATACTCAGGCCTCCCCTTGGGTTCCGGGTAAACGCCATGTTGATGAGGTTATCCATTTCAGTTCTTTTTCCTTATTGAATGAAAAAAATGGTTTAGCTTGTTCTTCACCGAATTCAGCAAATTTTAAAGCTGGGAATGTTTATGAGATTTTGGAATTTGGATTAGTCTATAACAATTTTATTGTTTGAATGTAAGTACTATTAGCCTTTCATGGTCAGCAATGATTTGGAAACAAAAAGAAAGAAACAATTTTAAACAATCTTTGCTGTATTGTATCATGTTTAATTTATAAATGAAGTGCAGGATGATGGTTCTATATCATGGAGAAAGAGGAAGAAAACTTCTTTATTTTGAGTAATTTTGGTAAACCGATATATTCCAGGTGTGTCATTAGTTCCTAGAAATGCTAAAACTCGAAGGTGCAAAGTCTGCACAATTAAAATGAACGGCTTGCTGATGAATCCTATTTTAATTCTTGTGTACATTTGACTTCCAAATATGGAGATGGACACAAGCTAGCTGGTTTCTCAGCTACATTACAAGCCATCATTTCCTTCGTGGAGAATGGGTACTTGGCTGGATATAGCTTAATTGTTTTTTAGTAATGATTCTTGTGCTTAATCAGTGCAATTATTTGGGGAACTTTATCCTTTTTATGTCAGTTTCTTGAAGGAGTTTTAATATTTCGTGAATTACTTTTCAGGGGAGATCGTATCAAATTTGTCAAGGCGGGGATACACCAGGAATTGTTACACTTGCTATTTCTGGTTTGAAATTTATGTAGTTTCTAATTTTCCAGCTCTGCAATCAGTTGTTATTAGATTACTTGCATTCGAAATACTTTCTCATTCATTTAATGATTAATCTTTTAAGTATTTCTTTGAATTGTCTTTTCACATATTGAAATTGCATTCTTTAGAAATAAACACTGAGGAACTGCAATTTAATTTCTGTTTCACATTAGTCTAATTAGCTTAGTTTCATTATATGCGGTGGAACCTTAATCCTCAAAAATAGTTTTGTGATATTTGGCAAGATGTGTCGACTAATTTTCAAAAGAAAAGTATGATGTGATAGCAGTTTGTTTGATATTATTAGAAATAGACATGTTCACATGAAAAGTTTTGCTGTTAGCCTCATCAATAGAGCAGAGCTTGCTTAAGAATACTCAAATTTTCGTATTCTTTTGGTATAGAATGCCTGAACATAGAAGATCCTACTTTAACCTTCCAGAGTCAAGCTTTACTTTTTGATGAGTAATGTATGGGATAACATATTTGTTTGTTCAGGTGGTCTTTCTTGTGAAGGGACCAATTTATTTAGTTTGCATCAGCTGCACAGAAGAGCCTTTTGAATCATTAAAAGCACAATTGGAGCTTATTTACGGTCAGGTAGCCCTTATAGTCTCCCTCACAGATTTCTTTTTCTGGACAGCTGATAAATTGGCTGCCACTGCATATTATAGGCTTTCTAGTTTCGCTCGATCAAAATATTTGGTCACCTTTCTTATGTTTATAAAGTCAACTGAAAGTATTTTTGTACTGCCTCACTATGATTGGTTATGAAATGGATGTGGATGATACTTATATTAACAAAGTCCATAAATAGATGCTTCGAGAAGAATCCTAAGTTTGACATGACACCGTTACTTAGAGGAACAGA